AAGGTCCCCAAAAGATAAGCATCTGCAAGTGCACTGACTGCTGGCCAGGCCCGTACCAATGTCAGAACAGCAGACTACACTGAGGGATATATCCCTTACCGCACTTTATTTGTAGTCAATGGAACAAATAGCAACAACAGAAAGCTGTCTAAAACACAGCAAATTAAAAGGTCATGCAGCCTTGCCAGTGGTGAGATTGGCCAAAAGAGCTGCCAACAGGTAACCCATTCCCAAACCCCCCTGTTCGACCAATACTGCTCAGTTCCCAGAAAACTATTCTGGCACTTGACTCTCTTTAGTCTTACAAAGGTATTGCCAAACTCAGGATATCTATTGGAAAAGTCTTGGAAAGGTATTTTTTTTTGTTCTGTTTTGTGCACTACGATGTATATTCAGAATCTCAACTCCTTTCACCACAGACACCTTCTGTAACAGCCTTCAGGTGACTTAAGAATTCTGCTCCCCTTTTCTCCCATTCTTCCAGCTAACCCACTCCCACTTTCCCCAGGTCAGTTATCCAGACCCCAGGCATATTTTTCCCCTTTAGCTTATCTTCAGGTGGCCAGTATATCTTGTCAATTTTTACAAGCCAGTTTTGAAGTGCTCATCATGGGGCTGGTCACAGGTAACCCAGGTTTTCCTCCCTAGAACCAAGGCAGGGCTCCTGTCCCTAGTGAGAAGCCACCCCTGGTTTAGCTGACCATCCATGGCTACCCAGTGATCTCATGCCCTCCATGGAAGGGATTTCAGAGCACCAGCAGGCTATGCAACTACGTAGTGGTAGTTCTGCGTTTCATTTTGCCCAAACAAGTTGATGCAGTTTATTCCACGTCTCCCCTCTTGTAGGCGTCAAGTCTTAAAACCCAAAAAGCAATCTTTTCCTTTCAGCCTTTTTAATCCTTGCCATAGTATTGTAGCCAAAATTATTCTGTAATTGCTGCTTCTCCAGTAATAAACTAAATCAGTACTTATGGAGCTCCACCAGTGGACTGTTTCACACCAAGCAGAGACCATGAATGTTGACTCTCTTGCAGAGAACTACTGTTGTTCAGAATACATGTCAGCAGAGTGGTTAAAAACAAAAAGGATGAGTGGCTTTACTGCACAGCCTGTGCTGGCGATTCCACTGTACAGGATGCATTTTCTGCACAGCTAATGCAAGCTAAGCCATGGCTTGCTACTTCAGGCTTTGTACTGTACTGAAGAGAAAACAAAGATATTGTAAGGTGATAGTGAAATTAACAGAAAGTGAAATTACAGGAAGACACAGAAGTAAGTCCACACCGTGCAGTAAGTGGTCGATGATGTATTTATGCCATTAGGTCATTCACTCATGCATTTTCACAATTCATAGGAAGACAGGTTTGTTCAAGTAACAGATAATTAATATACTAAGCTAGCCCCCCCAAACCAGGAAAGCCGCTTCAGGATGAAGAACTATATATTACTTTCTATTACTTCATTTGGCAAATCAGCAGCATGACCAATAGCATCAGGACACTTGGTTTGAGCCCCAAAACGATGGCACTACACACCACACTTTGACTCAAAAAATGTATTTGCTTCGTAAGAACACAATCGGTAGATAATGAACTGATTATTTCAAGTTCCTTAGCTACTGCTTAGTTAAAATTGCTTTAGGAAAAGAAATTTTAACAAGTGTAAGATTACTGATGTGTTTAGCAACACTAAACCAAGCAATGTTTAAAATGAACATAAAATACAACGAAACGTTTTCAACTGTGTATAAAACAATGCTGTGCATACATCAATGTACAGACTGTATTGTTACTACACTTAACTTCCTTTTTCAGACTGCTTCAGTATAGAATCACAGAATGGTTTGGGTTGGAAAGGACCTTAAGATCACCTAGTTCCAAACCATGGATGCCATGGATGGGGACACCTCACGCCAGACCATGTTGCCAAGGCTCTGTCCAGCTTGGCCTTGAACACTGCCATGGATGGAGCATTTGCCACTTCTTTGGGCAACCTGTTCCAGTGCCTCACCAGCCTCACAATAAAGAGCTTTGAAAATGATATATTCCAACTAACACTCGATTTCTTTCAAGATGAAGAGCCTTTGAAACAGCAAAGTGTTACAGACAGTATTGGAAAAAAACACAGTTTATGCCAAATTGGAGAGCATGATTCTTCTAACACTTGTGCGCGTGTGTTACTGACACTCAGTGAGACTGTGGATGTGGATGAACAAGTGTACAAACAGGCATTAAAACATTCCAGTTTGATATGATTCTGGTATTTTAAAACAAACAGTTCAGAATTCCATGGCTATCCAAGGAAAAACACCCAACAAACTGTTGCACTCCTTTTGCATAGCTAGATTTTTTGGGGACAAAGCTTCCAAAGAATGAAGCCTCTCATGTGGGTGTAAAACATATCTGAATTCCCTTTTAATACTTGATTTTCATCATGAACACTAGAAAGCAGGTCTCTGACATCAGGGCAGTGAATGTCCTCTTCCTTTAACAATGGAAGGATCAACTATAAATTTGATGCATTTCTAGTCAAACTTTTTTTTTAAAAAGCAATGAAAACATTTTGTGTTCTGACCTGGACAGGTAAGCAGGGAATCAGCATCCCAAAACAGATGCTATCAGAGGTTACCACTGCTCAGTTTATTCCTACACGTTTCACTGTTAAGGATGACAAATTCTCAATATAACTGGTCCAGCCCTTGTGACAGATGTAGTACAGCAACCAGAAGTGCTGCTGGTCACCACAGAACACCCCTGGCAAGGTTTCCACCAGAAAAGAATGACTCCTGCAATAATTTGCATGCTCTTTGTCTGAAACAAGTCAGTACATCTGCAGTATCCAAACAAAGTGAGGGATGTTTTCTGAGTTTCCATTTCTTTTCCTCTTTCTCCTCTCCTACATGTTTTGGAGCAGACTGTTTTGTTCTGCATCGCTGCAACCCAATAATGTAGTACTGAAAGTAGTAACTACTGATACTGCAAAATAACTGATACTGGAAAATACGTAAGTAGTCTTCCTAAGTTTTCCACCTAAGTTGGGTATCTCAGTTGTAAGTCAGCAGCGAGTGTTGTTCTTTTTCATGATCTAGACTGATAAAGTATTTTTCCAGTTTTCAGTTTCCACTGGGGCATGATGCTGCCTGGCTCCTGAATGCCCACAACCTCTCCACATACCGATTCTTAACCTTTTTAAAGATTATGCCTGCAAACAGGACTCTGAAAAAGCTATTTTATTTTGAGAACCCACTTTTCTTGTTGTCCTGGGTTCAGCAGTAGCAGTCATTTTTCTCCTTCTTAATAGCTGGTGCAGTGCTGTGGTTTTGACTTTCAGCCTGGGAACAGCGCTGCTAACACCGATGTTTCCAGTTGCTGCTCAGTAATGTTTACTCTGATCAAGGACTTTCTGAATCTCAGGCTCTGCCAGGGAGGAGGGGAAGCCAGGAGGAAGCAGAGACAGGACACCTGACCCAAACTGACCAAAGAGGTATTCCATACCACAGCACATCATGCCCAGTATATAAACTGGGAGCAGTTACCCGGAAGGGCTAGATCACTGCTTGGGTCAGGCTGGGTATCGGTCGGCTGGTGGTGAGCGGTTGTATTCTCTTCCCTTGTTGTTTCCCTTATCATTATTATTATTGGTGGTAGCAGCAGCGGTTTGTGTTATACTTTAGTTACTGGACTGTTCTTATCTCAACCCGTAGGACTTACATTCTTTCGATTCTCCTCCCCATCCCTCCAGGAGCAGGGGGAGGAAGGAGTGGGGGAGTGAGCGAGCGGCTGCATGGTTCTGGGTTGCCATCTGGGCTTAAACCATGACACTGTGGTGATCAAAAAAAGAGTTCAGGGAAATTCTGGACGTGCTGTACTCTAAACCAGACATTTTTACATCCAGTCTGACAACATGGAGTGCAAAACTTGCATGTACAGAGCAGTCAAATGTTTACAGACAGCACAGCACCAGATATGGAGAGGAACTTCAAAAAACATCATGAATTTGTTCTCTCAAGTGGAAGTGAACTAACTTCTAATAGTCTGGATGTGAAGAGAATTGCATTTCTACTCTGTCCTACCTGTGCTTTTAGTCCCTATTCACATTTAGAAAAATATCTCATTTAAAAGAGCCATCATGTTCTGTGACAATCAGAGTCATTCAGCTGAACTCCAAACTAGTAGTAGTGGTTAAAGGAAATCCAAAACACCCTTTAAAGGCTATTCATAACGTTCAGGGTTCCACAAGTCCTCTTGCAATAAAGACTAAGTTGCATTCTGAGAATAAAACGGGCAATATTCAAAGCAAACAAATGCCTATTTCATCAACAACATTTTTACCTTTAGGACTTCATCAGAGATCCTCCAAGGGGCTCGATTCCCTGCCAAGAGTAATTCTATCCTAACATTAACCCCCACAAAAAAAAAAAAAGATAGATATTTCTTTTATATTTACATATTATACATATTTACATTTTCTTTAATACTACAGTTGTAGAGGGAAATAAAACCTGGATACAGATTTAATATCTGCCTTTAAATGTCCCAACAGTACTTTTTCCCCTTGAAAAAATTTACAAGTCCTCTTCAGGTCCTTTGAACACTAGATACAGTCCACGTTCCGCAGGCCACCATCCATAGTCAATGCACCAAATCTGAAATGAAAAACATACCAGTGTATTCTTAGGTGACTGGATTACAGAATGAATCCTTAATTCATTATTATCTATTTATGGGGTTTCCTTCTCCTTGCCATGCACCAACACATGCATTTGTATCCAACTTTTATACGTGAAAAGATGGAAGAGAGGATGTTATGCTCCAACTATGGGACTGGGGAACAAAACTAAACCAATTTATCCTGACGCCAAACTCAGCTCTACAGCAATTCACTCTGAAGCTTTCAGGAGATCATTACTTTTACAGAAAAAAAAGCAAAGTCAGTCTGTATAACAACAGGTCTGCACAACAAGTCTGTATAACAGTTATGATAACAATATCCTCTCAGAAATATGTTGGCCTCTTTCTCCTTACTTTATTTAAGCAATCTGAAATTTACAAAATAATATATTTGGATTGGTACAATTCCACAGTTGTTAAAAAATATGTTTAAAAGTGAGGAGGCAAAAGACACCACTGGATCTGCAACAGCACTGTGTTTAAATTCAGAATTAATCTGTGCAGCAGATTTTTTTTTCTAGCCAAATGTAAGTAACGTGACATAAAAATGCCACAACTGCTGCATCAGTATGATTTTACAGTAATGTTTCAAGGCATTGGATACTTTTTTGAGGGGTACACCTCAGATCAGCAGTTCAAAAGAGACTACAGAATCATCCTTTGATGTAAGTTCTGGATCTACAAAATATATCAAATTAAGCCAGCTCCTAGTATGAGCCCCAAAAGGGAAAACAATTGCTTGCCTTTCCAAAATGTGGTTGTTCTCAGCCAGCTCTTTAACAACCCCTTCCATTTCCTCCTTTAGTTTCTTCATACTGTAGTAACAAGAAGCCAGAAAAAGGTTAACATTTTTATAGGGACAGTTTTACGGCTTCCACCAACTTATTACATACAAAAGAAGGAACAAATAACAAGTTGGTTATTTACTAAAATGATACATCAGTAGTGTCCCCTACTCGCTTCCAAGTCTGTGCCACCATCACTTTAGCAATATAAAGTTTCTCTGAAATATAAAATTATTGGTCTTAATGCAACAATCACTAAGTCAACCATATTTGTGTAACAGGTACAGAATACTGCATCAATCCAATTAAGAACTTCTCACCCAAGAGTCATTTCCACTAATGTGTTTGAGCTAGGATAGACTGTATTCATTGTATGTTTCATCCCACTGGAAGCTGCAAACATTTTCTGTGGCAGAGCATCTTGTAACTGTAATAGATAAAAGGAAATGTAAGTTTTAAGTTGTCACGTATACCTTGATGTCCACCTTGAAATTCTTCAAATTCTCCACTGCTGTGATGCCTCATAAGATCATTACAGTATTAAGGTGGCTGATATTCCCCAAGTTGAGATCATCACAAGTTTTTTATTGACATGACCTGTAGTTTCCCAATTTGTTCTATCTTCTTAACTGTCTTATACTTTCATAATAAACTCTCAAAAGGAAGAATTATCTATTTGTTACGTTTGTAGATACCCTAAGGAAACAGGATCCTAATCAATAACTGCCTTTGGTGGTGCTACTAGATACAAACCAGTAACAAGTAAAATGCTGCTCTCTACCATTCCTTCATTGCTTTATGCCTGCCAGGTGCTCTTCTTTCATTTTTTCTTTCTTTTATAAACAATAATAATATTACTGCCTTCATTATCTCAATTTTGAGGCACTTTGGTAAGTTTCCATCCTGCACAGTCACTGTCCAAATTTTAACAAAACCTCTTCTTTCATGTACCAGCAGCACTGGCATGCATCCTTGAGCATGTATCCCCTCATCTTGCATATGGAAGTATTGTTTTTATGCTTCAGTGTATTTAATCCTGAGTATTCAGTTAGTCCCTTAGATGCTCAGATACCATTATAACAGTTACACAGAACACTTCCCAATGAACCCACATCCATTTGCATAGATTTTTTGGGGGGGAATGCTAACACTACCAAAAAACTGCACCCCCAAAACCAAAAAAAAAACCCCAACCCCCCCCCCAAAAAAAAAACCCACAAAAAACCCCTAACCAACCAAACCAAAAGCACCAACAACCCAAACCCCCCCAAACTCCAAATTCATCAGGATTCCAAAAATGACACCACTCTCCAGGCCACTCCAACATCATGGAAATAGATGACCCTTAAAGTCCTTTCCAACTCAAACCATGCTGTGATTCTATGATTCTAAGCTACTATCATCTGAATACTACACCCATGCAGCCTGTGTTTTAATATGACTGCATTTAAGACTCACTATAAACAACACTAATGACACTAAACAATGTGGAACAGTTTTATCTATGCAAACACTTTACAGAATTTTGAAGTGTTCTACCTCATTTATATAATCCTGGTATTTGGATACCTCTTCTTTGATATCAAAACACTGATTGGTGAGAGCCAGTAACTGCTTCCTTGTGTGAAACATTTTCCTAAAAGAAAAAATGGTTTCTTTTAGGAGCTTCCTGTATAAAAGTGGTGCAGTGAACATGACCAAATAGTAATCAACAGCTTGCCTTGTCCAGTCCTCAGCCTTGTCCAGAAATGTATCATACTTGCTGACACATTCATCTTTGAATAGAGTTATGGCTTTTGTAGCATGCAAATACAGCTTCTGCCTGCAACACAGAAACAACCAAACAGTGTTATATTGCTTTCAAAACTTCATTCCTCTGATTTACTTACTGAAACTTGGAGAACAGGCATACGGGCTTAAAATCCCTTCAGCCACCTTTATGCATGTGGTTGTAAGGTGTAAGAATCCAACACAATGCATGAACTAACAGTTTCATGTTTCAAAAATATGCCTTATCAGTGAGGAAAAAAATTATTTGAAGCATTTAGCTGCAATAATTTTAGATGAACAACTGGTAAAATGTCTTCTCTGAGTCAGTATTTATCTGAGCAGATATATTTAAGGAAAAGGGATTCTAAATAGAAACAACAGAAATCCTTATTATTTCTTATTTGCCTTCTGCAGATACTTGGAACTTCCAGCATATATGAAGAATCTTTTGTGCTGAGTAATATACATGCAAGAAGAAAAACCACAGGATTCTTATGTCAGCTTACACTTACGACAAAATTAAAAAGCAAGCAGATAAGGACAGGAAAACAAACCGAAACCCAGTTCTGTTTAGTGTTGCAGACAGTAATCCCAGTCTACTTATTCCCTTATCATGCTCTGCATTGCGCCAGTAAGTGAAACTAAGGGATACTGGGACACTACAGTCCAATACCTGCTTCTGGTATTTTGTTCAGTCTTGCTTGATAGCTATTGGTTAATCACATTCTGGCTACCATGTAACTGGACTGTTATCAAGCATGCATACCTATATTCAACCAGAAAAAAAACAAACCTAGTTGAGTGCTGCTCCATTCTCTGTCTAGGGGTAAATATTACAAAGGCCAGCCTCAGTTGCTAAAGGCAAACAGTTCTTAACAAAAACCACTGTCATTTCTCTCTAGGGTGAATCAAGTTCAATAAGATGTAGGTAGGATTTCAAAGATACCTGAACAGTCATAAGGAGACACTTGTGGTAGAAAATATGCCAGTACTCAAACCCATGAAAATATCACATATTAATGCAATGACACAGTTTGAGTAGTAGAAAAAGCCCTAAAATTTCTTTAATCTGCCCAAGGGAGTGCAGTTTTAAACTGAGCCATGGCTTGCATCCCAGTGCTTGCCTTCTTTCCAACCATATCCTTAAGAACATAATATGAACAGTAATTTTGTAGTATCTGTCACATTAAGTTCAATCCCTCGCTGTTGCAGGGCAATGATGCATCTAAGTCTCAGCATGTCAAATTTGTCTTTCCTGCCCCTACTGTCCTTTATTTCAAGGTAACCTCCCCTCTACTTGGCAGTTATCCCATTTAGCTTTCTCTTTGGGAAAATCAAGCAGCATAGTTTTTGGAATACCAGTGCCTTGTACATGTTAGCTTTCTAGCTGTAATCTGGCAGCAACAGCAGAATTTTACAGAAGCAGTGTCTGAACTCCTGTAGCATCCAGCAAAGTCTAGGGAACCACTCAACTGGTCAGCCACTAGGAGAATAACTTAATTAGTATTAAGCATCTGTGTATGGAACTGAATCAAACCTGAGACAAGTACAACATCAGCAGAGCATCTGTTAACAGTTGCTCAAGAGTTAGTCAGTGGAGTTTAATGGGAGTCCAGACACCCAAGTTACATACAGACACTTCATGTGGCCACCTCTCAAGTGACAATTTTATACAGGCATGGAGAACTGCATTAAAATTTATTTTGCTTGCTATACTTCCTGAAAGATTAAATTGCTCTAGAATTTCATTCAGCTAGCCCATATTTCATTCACCTGTAGAAAATTATCTTCAGTTATAAAGTCACTTCACTCTTACTGAGGGCTTATTCCTCCCTAAAAAACAGGAGCAAAAATATATCTCCTGGAAGACAGTTAATGCCTAGAAAATGAACAGGTATTTCATAAGTATGTAGGTATTTCACATCTACATTTAGAAGGTCTATCAGGGATGAAACTCCAGTGTCAGAAAGCACCTCATTACCTTATATCCTATGTATTTAAGATATTTAAAGGCAATTTTTCACAAAGCAATCCCGAAGAGGTTATAATTTACAACAGGTTATTGGCAAGAGCACCTGAAGGACCTGAAAGCAATCATGCTACTTACCAAAGGTAACTTCAAAACTTACTTGTCAAATTTGTGAATTTGTTCTTCATTATAAGGAAGCCCTAGGATCAAAGCAGATGACAGACATTACCAGCTTAATTCTATTAGTTGTATTTATGTAAAACTCCACTAAGTGCAATTCAAGCTTATGAGATTAATAGTGGTGATACATTCATATGGGTGATTCATTCAGATGGGCTTTAAGATGGTGCCTTACTGAGAAAGATGTACAAACATGTTCACTGTTGCTGACTAACCCTCGATTCCTAATTTCCTAGTGGAACAAGGACTAACCTGACCTTTATATTACAGTTTGTGTTAAAAATGAATCAAAGAAGTTACTTACTTCGTTCTGCTTTGTCTTTTTTGAACTGATAATAAATATCTGTGATGGAACGCAGCAGCGCCTGCAGCCTTTCTGGACTAGAGTGACAAAAGGAAGAAAATGAGATCTTCTATATATAAACTTAAGTTATGTATTGATGAGTTTTAAGAACTATGTAACAATGTAAAATTCAATACATATTTAAACAATTTACTCACTTCCTGTCTTTTGGATGCATGCCTTCCTGATTTGCCCAGGTGTCAGTCAGTAAACCACCTGGAGAAAGTTTGGTTTTGATATCTTGAAGACTAGTTTCTAGCGTGCCCTGAGAGCTGGAGAGCTATATAAGAGCAAGAAAGTTCAATATTACCACTAGGTAAAGGGAAAAATTCCTTGAGGCTGAAAACAAACTGAGCACATTAATGCTATAGACCCATTTACTTCACTGACATTAACTGAAGAAATATGTCCATTATCTGTCTAGGCTTTGCTAAAAGCAGCTAAAGCATGGCATTATTAAAGTAAGAATCATCTCTGATGTTGGCATTTCTGTTACTCACAGAAAACACCGTGTATTTGGCTTTTTCTTTATAAACATCATTTTGAGAATGACACAGGCTTTGTAAGATAACTTACACGCAACAGTTTTGTCTGGATCTCTGAAATTTCATCCACTTCCGACGCTTCCAAGTTGATCTGCATCAGATTCTCGTATCTGGCCACAAAAAAATGCACAGTTAAAAACAAGCAGTGAACACACTTAAAACATTTCTTGAATCTACTGTAACAGTAACTATTTTTTATACGGAATACAGTGTCTGTCGAGCAGGAGCCATGAAACACTGACACCGTTAAATGGCCACTAATAATGAAAATATTTTAGTTATGAAAAAAAATCCTTTTTTTCCCTACACTTTAACTGCTTTTTAGTTTCAAGCTTCCATTCTTGACTTCCTTATTCATTACTTTTACTCAGCAGGCAGTGTAAAACTATTTCCTCTCATCAAATAAGTTTTAAAAGGTTACCAAACTAAAGAAGTCAATGACACACAACAAATACTCCAGTGCACCAAAATGCATTTCTGTGGAAGCTTATTGGAAAGGCTGAGTTACCAAAACCTTGAGGCTGGGTTAGTAGCACCATCTGCTCATACTGACACTTTCCATATGATTATCTCAAGTCCCAAATAAGTCATTCGGGACAGTATTTTTCCTGTTGAGTCTCAGGTACATTTTGTTTTTAAAAACATCATCAAAACCAGCTCAACTGCTTCCAGAAAATACACACTCTGCTCAAGTTCAATACTTCATTCACGTTTTCAAATAAAAGCTATGCATTGTCATGCTTTGAAGCATAGCCTTAGAAAGGGAGGGCAAACAAGAGGAGCTTTGCTAACTCCATCTAAGCCTTCTGAAGTCAAATAAACTGAATATCCTGTCTTTCCATAAGAGGCTGAAAGACCACATGCAAACACATAGCAAATTCCTGTGAAAATAAGAACTGCTCCAGTTCACAAGTGAGCATATTTCATTTTTTTTCTCCCAAATTGCTGCTCCCTGCAGGTCGAAGGAGGTGATCCTGCCCCTCTACGCTGCTCTTGTGAGACCTCACTTGGAGCAGTGTGTGCAGTTCTGGTGTCCTCAACATAAAAAGGACATGAAGCTGTTGGAGCAAGTCCAGAGAAGGGCCACGAGGACGATCAGGGGACTGGAGCACCTCCTGTATGAAGACAGGCTGAGAAAGTTGGGGCTGTTCAGCCTGGAGAAGAGAAGGCTGCGTGGAGACCTCATAGCAGCCTTCCAGTATATGAAGGAGGCCTACAAGGATGCTGGAGAGGGGCTCTTCATTAGGGACTGTAGCGATAGGACAAGGGGTAATGGGTTAAAACTTAGACAGGGGAAGTTTAGATTGGATATAAGGAAAGAATTCTTTACTGTAAGGGTGGTGAGGCACTGGAATGGGTTTCCCAAGGAAGTTGTGAATGGTCCATCCCTGGCAGTGTTCAAGGCCAGGCTGGACAGAGCCTTGGGTGGCATAGTTTAGTGGTAGGTGTCCCTGCCCAGGGAAGGGGGGTTGGAACTGTATGATCTTAAGGTCCTTTCCAACCCTAACTATTGTATGATTCCATTATTCTCTGGGATACTGCTGAATGCACTGAAGTCACAAATCAGAACCTACAGCAGTTTCTTCTGAGCTCTCAGTGGCTTTCTTCTACGGAGACATGGCAGAAAGCATGAAGAAGCTACCTGAACCAAACAGAGTAAACAAGAACCAGTCATGTCAACTAACTAGCTTCAAGAAGAGCTGAGATTACAGCCCTGATGATCTGCAACTAGGCTACAGAGCCATTACCTTGCTAGTTATCAACTTTGCTAATTTCACTGGTTGGTTGGTTGGTTTGGGGTATTTTTTTTAAGCAAATCTCTTTGAGCCTGTGTCATTTTGTACACGTTTGGCATGCACACAGCAAATCTGACAAATCCTTGGGTATCTACAATTACTACATACAAGATGTTCAATTTGCAATGCATAGCACCTCCAACATGGCTTAAGTCTATTCTTAAGTCTATTCTGCAAATGCAGTGGTTCCAACATGTATGCATCAATCATCTTGTCGACATGTGCATTTTCAGAGCAGCCTGGAAGCAAGTCTAGAAAATCCCATGACCAAGACAGCATTTGGGGGATCCTGGCAGTAAATTGAATAGGAAAACAAATACTGTAGAAGAATCCCATGAAGAGTCTGTATCAGACTGTGTAAGAGTAACACACCTTATTCTCTCCCATAAAGATGGAGCCAATGATAGTTTATGGGAAGACTGAACAGGACACTGTAAAGGCACTTTAAAAGTGGAAAAGAATTTGAGAGCTGGGCATTGCATGGGACTTGGAGATGCAACAAAGATCATGAGACAGAATAAATGAAATTGGAGGATGCATTTGATGGTGCAATCTCTTCTCCTACAGACCGCCTTGAGTGAAAAGAGGTAGGGCAGAAGAGTCTGACCACTGGAAAACCACCTGTTTCCTTGAAACAAAACAAGAGAAGTAAGTGTCTTCTGTGGTCTTTGAAACCTGGAAGTCTTCTGTTCTAAAAAGTAGTAATTCTTCAGTTCCTCCCTAATTTTTTTTTCCAGTTTTAAAGTGCTATAATAAACTTTCTGCTATAATGAACTAAATGGGTCCATATGTACAACAGTGAGATTCTGTGATACAGACCTCTGCCCTCTGAATTAACCAAAATAAACAAAAATAATATAACAGCCAGGCACTTAAAACAATGACAGAAGTAGTATTTCCTGTAGAGTTTACCTCTGGTATCCCTATGTGCAGTATCCCACAGTGATACTGGTATCACTGATCTAGTGACATCCTAATGTAGCTTTGTTTTTTGGTGGTTTTGTGGGTTTTTGGTGGGTTTGTTTTGTGGGTTTTGGTTCTTTACTTCTGTTGGGTTGGGGTTTTTTTTGTTGGGTTTTGGGGTTTTTTTTGTTCAGCTGCTCTATGTTGCATTTCAACATTAAAATTCTTCCATGCACAAAATGCTAACATCTTAAATCTGTGAAAGGGGCAGTATTTAACAGTCATCCTTAATAAACACACACAAGCAATCTCAGTGACAAAGGCACTAAAACACTAATTAAAGAATTGAGTAGCTTTTTCCAGGCTTTACTATAGCTTCTGAAGTCAACAACAGCAGATGAGCTAAGTCAGAGAAGAAATAAGAAAAAGAACACATACAATTACTTCTTAGTAGTAATTATTTGCTCCCATTAGGTTAAGCCACACAATAAACATTCTAATTTGTGCAAAGCATAATACTGAATCTGCTTAAGTCAATGCCATCAGCAAATCCATGCTGATTCAAACTTTTTATACACAAAACCCCTGAAAATAAACGTAACTTAATACCATTGTCATCAAAGATACTAAAAAGTCATTGCATTCAGTATAGTGCTTCTACTCACATTTTCTCAGCTTTCTCAATGTTTCTGCTGCAGAAATCCAGCCTGATGACAACCTCTGTCTTTTTGTGAACCATTTCATTGTAATCATCCTTGATTATTTCACTAAAAAGGGAAGCAACAGTCTGTAGGGAAAGCATTCAACTGCCATCTTAGCAGTAATCAGCAATACAATAATATGCCTACAATAGTAACTGCTAGTAAGAATTCCTATGAGTTAGAGATGCATTAATATAATCTTCCTATAGAACTATCCTGTGTAAGCTGCTGAACTGTACCTCCATGTTACGAGACATTAGACTTAAATTATTTACCAAAGAAAGCAAAATTGCAAATACCTAAACCTCATTGCCAAAAAAATGATGCTTGTTTCCTCAACGACAGAAAGAAGGAAATAAGTAGGAAAGCCTATTCATATTCAAGGAGTAAAGAAAACTTCCCAAGATACTGGGAGATCACAGAATTATGGATTGATTATAAAGGCATATCTCAATTAAAAAAAAAAAAAGAAACAAGTACAATGAAATTCCATCAGTTGCTTACAGTAGCCATCGTACTCCTTTTCGCATCAGCTCCTGGTAAAGCAGCAAGGAAGTGGCAACTCTACAGGCATAACAGATGATACCTGTTACTGCCTGGTGGAAAGCACAAACATTAGTACTAATCTGGCATTCTCTTCACAATTGTTTCAAACCAATTAACCACTGTAAGGGATGAAAATGTCTCTATAAACAAAAATGACACCACTTACTCTTAGGATTTACTTTAATTTCTGGGAAGTCACAAGTACATTTCTTCAGTTTAGGAATTAAACACATGCATTAAAAGAGACTCTTAAAAATGGCATATTTTTAAATTCTAAGGCTAGGGACTCTTCATTCACCTAATTCCACTTACAAATTTGCTGATTTACTTAGAATTGTGAACAAAGTTTCGGAAATTATAACTTACAATATTTTAATTCATTAATGTAAACTGATGACTTTATCTTCATTAATTTTAAAGACTCCTGGTGTTCAAAGAGACATATGCTTTCAGGACTACCATGCCTGAATACAAGGCTTGCCAGCAGCCAGTATTTTATAGGCATAGCATAAATGGTGGCCACAAAGTCAAAGCATGACAATGCGTCCATCCAGTAGTTCTAGAAAAGCGACCAAAAGGATGAAACGACTTCTACGTATCTCCCAGATTCTGAAAATTTACAAAAGGCAAAAGAAATTCAACTCTGCAGAGTCCTAGAGACCCCTCTCTATCAAAAGAGGAAAGTTATTTTCCTTATATTAAGTTTTGCACCACGACAGAATGTTATGAATCCTCTAGCTAACTTCAGATCTCCAAAGTGACCATCTCCTTCCCCTGCAAGCACTGAATTACGCAGTACCAGAGCACTTGGACTTTAGAAGCCTGTTTTTTTTGTTTTAGTTTGTTTTTTAATATACAAACTTTTTGTACATAAAGCATGGCTTTGATATACTTTTGGAGCTCTTGTTAATAAATACTCTTCTGTCAATCAGAATCCTCACTAGCATGTTAAAACTCTTTTTAACATTAACATTATTCATCTGAAAATCAAGTAGCTTTCATTTCAGTATGATTATGTGACACAGATCTATAAATTAAAATCATAATTACTCACTTTAGCCATACTGGCATCCCCATCCAAATCATAACGTTGATGTACTTTAGGAAGTAAAACTGAAACACAAAACAAACATCTTCATTTTATTATTTTCCACAGGAGACTTCAGAAATTCAGACTGTTTCCCCTGCCCATGCTGTGCACTGGTTTTTACGTGTATCAACACAGATTTTCATCTAATCTGTTACTGCCTTTCAATTTAACGTGGTTCTCATGCACACCTTTAAAACCAGCCTTTGTCTTAAGCACTTTAAGTGACTTGGTATCTTCAGCGAACTCGTTCACTTCCTTTTCCAGGCTCACTTTTGAACATGCTTCACAGCACAGATTTCATGTAGGTCTCCACTATCGATGTCTCTCCATTGAGAAAACCAATCACTTATTTCTGTTGTTCAGCCCTATGTTTGCCTACGTGGGAGACTATTCCCTCTTATCTTATACTTGGTTTCACTGAGACTCTTAGGGGCAGAACTTCAGCAAATGGCTTTTTGAAATCTAGGGTAGCCTCTATCAGCTGTATCTACTTTGTTCTCACACTCACTGACTCCTTTAGAAAGCTCTGACACAATACAAAGGCGCTGTTGATCCTCCAACAAACAGCTCACCTACCCACCCTCTTCAGCACCTCTGTGCAAGTACCAGCTGCGTAGAGCAGTCAGTATGTAGGACACACTGACAAAAGCACTACTGACTTCTCAAGTGCAGACATAGCCCCAGCTCATCTCTTACACAAAAGGGGTCTGGCACAGGGTCCTCTATAAGCCTCTCAGAGATAAATGTAAAAACTTACTTTTTTCTTTTTTTCTGTTATGGCATTACCTTATGTTCCAAGCAAAGGTAAGGTGTTAAGACCTCCTATTAACTGAAAGGCTAACCACATACATGACATTAAAAAATAAGAAGTCAAAACCTGAACTTCCACTTACTGAGTAATGGAACAAAAGAGCCAGCTTTGAATTACATCCTACAGTCTTCCTTTCTACTTATTAAAAGTGTCATGCTTCAAAATATTTCAGTACTCCATAGACCCCACTTAACACAAAGATGCTCAGGTACCCAGCACTAGGAACAAACATGCCAGATATTCAGCATTTTTGGGGAATAAAAAAAAAAGGGGGGGGGCATAGGGGGAACAAGGGCATTCTTAGAACTTCAGGTATCAAAAGAGAAAACTTTCAAACACTATTTCTACGATGTAACAGCCATAAAACAGTAATTAAATAACTCAGTCTATTTACAGAAGATAAGAAAGGAGAAATGGCTTTCATATACCTTCTTCATAGATCAATCCAACAATGTTCACAGGTTCCCTGCTTACTACAAAGATAGGATTCTCTTCAGTTGTTCTGGGGAAGTGCTGTGCCAATCTGCCAGGCTCCAGTATTAAGCGCCGACCTTCATATATCAGTTCTTGATTCTGAGATGGTATTTTTGTCTGTTTGTAGACCAAATCATGAAATATAGTAGCTCTATAATACAAACAATACATTCAGTAGTAGTTAGACTCACTGCAACAGTTCAATAATTCAGATTTTGTATTACTTTGATAAATATCTCTTTTCCTTCTGATTAAGAACTAGTTGTACACATAAAACATTTGACTTAGAAGCAGAACAAAAACCAGCATGCTGCCCAAGCTTGCTCTGTTACAAAAACAAATACTATTTCCTGCAAAATATCAAGCTTCCCTTTCTACCTCTGATTTTTCACCAAAGCATGTCTGTGTAAACAAACTTGCTTTGGCCTGGGCAGCATCAGATGAGATAAAGGAAGCATACGTTTGTTTCCTCAGGCATATGCATTTCTTCAAAGGAGATGGATGGTTTCTCCAAGAAAAATTCTGGTGTTTTAAATGTCAAAAAGCACACACCTTAAATTCAGCCTGTAAACTGACAGCCAGATTATCTCCAAAACAGGAGTGAGAAGGAAGATCAAAGACATTCTGGTGTTTTATTACCATCAGTCAATGGATACTAGGCATAATAATTTATAACAAACCTCTTCTTCCCCCACATCTCCAAAAGAAGAAAACCCAAAACACCCAACAAACAAAACCTCCCACAAATGAAAAACCTTAAGCACACTAACATGAAGGACAAATACGCCTCCTGTGCAGCACTAGCCCACTGGCACTCTTAATACTGCAGCTAGTATATAAATAATCATGAAGGTAAATAATATTAAAATAAATGTTTAAAAATAAAGTACAACTAGCAGCTTGAGCTCCAGGCAAGATTTCTCTGCAAAAATAGCATTTGGCCTCTTTCAAAATAAAAATGACACAGTAGAAAAACTGAAAAAGGCCAGAATTGTATTTACACATTTTATTAAATAACTGTTCGTGTATCAGCGGATGACACATCCTCTGTATTATCTGAAGTATGGCAGAGAAAAGACACTCATTTTTGTATCAAACCGTACACCAGATGTTATCGTTTTTAACATCAGCACTCGATGACCATAAAGTGAACTCCATATAACTTAGGATCCTAAATTGTACCAATTACAACTTCAGAGCCCCAGTAAGAGCTTTGTATGTCAGACACAGTTGATGTGCACCTTCTGTATTCTTGAGGACAAGATAAGAAAAGAGAGAGCTAAACACAAGTCTCTGGAAAACTACTTTGTCAGTAAGTAAGGTACATAAATGTGGGATGAGCTGGCATCCATTAAGAACATACACTGTAACACATCAAGGATTAAGTCTGTGTCACTGATGAACACCAAGTTTAAGATCAACTGATGTGACCTTTAGTGAGTTTATTATTGTTCAAAAGGCTTCTATGGATGGGGACTGCACAGGAGAATTACAAGCTTCCTCAGATAAACTGACAAGGGAAGGCTGCTGGATTTGTAACAGTGGTGATCTGAGCTCACAGTACAATTTGCCTGAAGGAAAACACAGTAATGAAAACAGAGAACAAGAACACTTACGTATTATAGCTGTGAATATAAACTTTGTGCAAGGTCATCTGCTGTAGTGAAAAGACGTGGATTATCATTCGGTGCAGTATGTCACTCGTTTCTGCAAAGAACTGGTCAAACCCCCAGCATTTTTCCTGGTCTGCTTCAAGAATGTTCACAAGGACAGGTGTGAGCAGTACTTGCAGACCCCTAGAGGACATCAGGAAAACAGAAGACAACTTGGATTTACTTGGATCTTTTTACCTTATATGCAATTGCAACACTTCATTTTACTTGTCTCACAAATGTAAATCTGAATCACAAGAAACTTTATGGATCCCACTCCTGTGTTATCATGAACAACCTCTTCAAAGTTGTCAGTGTGCTTATAAGCCACCGGAGCTTGCTTTAAAACGGTTTGACAGACAGCCCCATTAGAGGTCAGTGGATGCTGTACTCAAACTCACTTTAGTACTAAACATATAACAGTAAATACTGTTCAAATATTACTTGAAAATATTAGCATGAACACATGTTTAATAAAGTCTGCTTCAGTTATTATTTCAAGCACTTCAATTATATGGAATAAGAAAAGGAAACAACTGAGCATTATCATGAAAAATACATATAAACTGTAAGTTCTGCACACTATAAACTAATACATGGATATAAACAAGACTTTCACTCTACACCCTTTAGGAATCCCCATATTGGGCTTTCAGAAACATTTGTTTCTAGAATCTGTTCACAGAACAATTTCTTTCTCCCTTTACCATGTAAGAGCAGTAACTTTAAAATACTGAGGAACTCTCAGGAAGATAAATAGGTAAATGGGCTATGGGAGGTGTTTTTAAGATCATATTGACATCTTAGATCCTCCATGGCTCTTCCTACTGAGGATTACGACACATGAAGCAAACATATGATGATAAAAAAAATGTAGAAGATGCTATAAAAAAATGTTAAAATGTGTTGATGTGATTTTTTTCCCCCCTCCATGGCAAAAATGCAAGTCTCTGAACTGTCTTTTCTTATCATTTCCTTCCTACTGCCTAATCTTTGTAATGTCTGAAGTCACATTCTTGGACAAATGAATCTTCAGACTTTCCTCAGGGTGGAGAAAATAGAGTTATAATCTTTCTTCTACTCATACCACTTCAGATTCTCAGGTGCCCATTTGTAAATTAGCAACCATGAAACTACTTGGATGGATGAGAAGAAAAAACACTTGATAACCTAAAAGTAGACTGTACTGACCTACTGAAGAGTTCAAAGAAAGCAACTGCAGCAGTCAGATCTCTGTTCCAAAGATGCAATCCTGAGAGAATAATTGGAAAAACCCAATCAAGTAGTGTTGAAACATTTTGTGAGAAGTTCAAACTTACTTCGAAAGACTACAAGAAACAGGCATCTCCCGCCTCCACTCAATTGGTCCATTTTCTGCTTTCTGTACTCCAGAAATAGCACCAGAAGGCTTTTCAGTGATTATCTTGTACCTGTGATACATTATAAAAATAACAGACTTCAACTACTACTTCTTACACATACATAGGTATGGTAACTGATCCTCAAAAGGCATCAATAATATAAATAGAAATAATGGGCTGGCCTAAATTCGTAGGTGGTGCAATAACTCGGAAGCTTTACTTTCAAACTGACAGAGAGTGGTGCTAAAACAGTAAACAATGAAAATTAAACACTTTGGGCTGTGTCGAGAAACATCTTTGTCTACCTAAGTTTGGGAAAAACTGAGGAGAGATTTCAGGAATCACTGAAGGAAGCTGATTTTTTTTCTTTTGTACAAGTTTTAATTAATCGGAGTCAGATTTCCAAGGCTGTTCAAATTAGGCATTTACATGACTAACTTCTAACATATTCCGTGGCAAGAGATGACATTTAGCCACACAAAGTCACTTGGGGATAAAGAAGATAGACTCTGAGGAATTACTTTAACTTGGAAACGTTTAGCAATTGGCACACAATTTGGCATTGTCTAACCTTGCACTGACCAGGCTAGTATTTCTCAAATTTCTCATTAAACAAATCAGAAGCAATAGGCTTCTTGCAATAGAAAATTTTAGTTGTGCTTTCTCTTTTTGGAGGACAAGGCACATACAAACTACATTTTCTTGGCTTATCTCTCAAGTAGATACAACAACGATGCCTGTGAGACAATCACAAGATGGGCAGTTCCTTGAAGTAAGAAAACTGAAATCAGCTTTGCAAGGAGTACCAGGACGGAAATGTCACCGGCCTGTGAGAGGTCCCAAGTACCACCCTGCTTTATGTTTTAAATGCAACACACAGAACAACAAAATAGAACTAGACTAAGGCAAAACAGGAACCAATTCCAAACAGCACAGCATAGACACAACTTCAGTTTCATAGTCAGGAGCTGCTCCTGTTATCTTCAGCCACTGTCCACAACCATGCTACTCAAGAAACTTAAATCTCACAGGTAGTGCACGCATTTCAAGACTGCCTGGAAAGACAATCACTTAAAAGACAACAAAAATTTGCAGCACTGGAAATCTGTCTAAAAATGCCATGATTTTGCCTGAATAACCAAGTGATATATACCACAGTGCAACAGACCAGCCCAGTACCATGGTGAAAGAAAGGTATGTGGAAAAACATCAGTATTTTGGTGGAGCTCTGTTGCTTAACTCAGGTTTTAAAGTGCAACACAGTAAAATCCTTGTTGAAGCAGAATGTTTGTACTGGTTTTGGCTGGGACAGGGTTAATTTTCTTCATTGCAGCTCATACAGTGCTGTGCTTTGGATTTGACCAAAACAGTGTTGATAACACAGGGGTGTTTTAGCCACTGCTGAGCAGTGCTTACACAGCATCAAGGCCTTTTCTACTTCTCACACTACCCGCCAGTGAATAGGCTGGGGGCAGGCAAGAAGTTGGAAGGAGATACTGGAAGCTGACCCCAAAGGATATCCTCTATCATATTACATTATGCTCAGCAATAAAAGCTGGGTGGGGAATTTCCAGGATGGCAGTTGCCAGAGACTGAACCAATGTCAGTTGGCTGATGGTGAGGAACAGGGGATTTTTTACACAATTTGTTTTTCTGGGTTGTGTTTTCCTTTCAGTTGGGGGGGGGGGGGGGGGTTGGACTTGCTGGGGTTTTTTTTGTGTGGTTTTCTTAGTGGTTTTTGTTTTCTTATTAAACTTTTGTTTTCTTATTAAACTTAACCCACGAGTTTTCACACTTTTACCCTTCCAGTTCTCTCCCCCATCCCACTGTAGGGAAGTGGGCGAGCAGCTGTCTGATGCTTAGATACCTAGTGGGGTTAAACCACGAAGTTAAAGAATGTTTTTCCCTAAATATTTTCACTATTTTAATGTTTACTATGTGTGCATAGGATTTTTGAGAAAAAGCATGTCATGGACTGACTTATTTTACAAACAGATAAAATTCTCCTTCTAAATTACCTACATCACTTCCTTGTTTCTACGAGGTCCTTCAAAGGGTCGGAAAGGCAAACTCCCTGTTGCAGCATGGTAAAAGGTCACCCCTATGCTCCACAGATCAACTGTTGCTCTGTACTTTTTCTGATGCTCTTTCCTCAAAACGGCTCGCTCGTACATGTCAGGATGCTAAAGCCAAAAAAAAAAGCAGGAAAAAAAAAGAAGTTGGAATTGCTTATGAACAATACAAATCTACCATTTTGCAGCAAGGTAATCTGTCATTCTAAACTTTCAGATTTTTAATCAAATAGCAAAGTTATCTTGTATCAAAGAATTTGCTTAAATTATTCTGACAGGATAGCACAAAAGTGTTCCTAGGTATAATACAACTTTCATTAAAGGTCTACAAAAATATATAAAATTTTAGCTAAATGCTGACTATTAGAATAAAACACCACTAAAGAAAAAAGAGGTGAAAGCCAGTATTCCTCCAGATGACTCTGAAACAAAAGAAACCAAATTAGAAAAAGATCCATAGCAGAGGAGACTATCAGTTACAATACTGCATGGGGGAAAACACGGCAGGAAGAAAACTATGCCTATGATGCTTATATTGATGCCTCTCTGCCTGCCTCTCTTCAGTTAACTAAGGCATCAAGTGAATCTTAACTACACTTAACATCACACAAGAGCTCAAATAAAACCTGAAACATACCCATAGAGATAAAGGCAAAGAAATTCATTACTAAAATACTGTTGTTCTTTCTCTCACAGAAGGCAGCAATGGAGGCTGGAGCTGGAAATTATCTAAAGGCTACTGTGCTCAGATCAGCGGAAGACCTGGCATGACTTAACGTGAAAAAGGATTAAAGTTGTAAAACTAATTCCAAACAGTCCAACCTTCACCTACTCAGCTCTCATCACAAATGGCCCTGGGCTTCAAACAGTTCAAGAGAAAGTGAAATCATATGAGCTTACTAAATATTCTTCTGTGCCATAGAGAGAAACAAATTGTTCATCATCTTCCAGTTCTCTTGCAGCACCGAAGTCTGTCAGTTTGTAAACAGACTGACCATCTTCACCGATAACACGCATTATGTTGCCTGGCTTGATGTCACGATGCACTATTCCATTCTCCCGGAGATGATTCATCCCAGCCACTTCCATTAGAAAGAAGATAATACAGAATTTATGTATACATCTTGACACAAACTGCATAAGCACTGAATTGTAACTGAGGCTATGAAGACATACATTTCTACTTTCCCACTGGGAAACGGACATAAAAAGGGATGCTCAATTAACAAAAAGAGCAGGACCAGAGAATATTGTAAACACTTTTACTTTCTTTTTTTCCAAGCAGCTGAATTTACAGTATCTCCTGCTCTCGGCAACATCTTACCATTAAAGTAACAAACAATAATTCTATAACAGGCAGACACAGGTAAGCCTCACTGTTTTTCTAATTGACTCTTCTGAGATTGTCACTGGGCATTAGTCTAACATGTGACAAATAATTCTGAAATAGACAAAGAATTATAGCAATGCTTTAAACAGCAATGTCATCTTAATGCAGTTATCTATATCACCTACACATAAGCAAAAGATGTGACTCCATATGACCATACTCATTTGCTCAGTTAGTTGACTGTCATTCAAACTGCTCATCTCTTGCCATTTCAAGATAAACACAACAGGTATGACTTTGTTTCAGTCAATAAATTAGGAAAAAGAGCAAAGAACAAAATCCACATACCCACATCTCTCAAAACGATTAAGAACTCAGACTCTGGCAAACCAAAGGCATTAGAGGGCTCCTCTAAAACAGTGTATAAACTCCCACACGGACAAAATTCCATAACTAGTACTTTGTGTCTAGTTGTTGTCTGAAAAAATAAAATTAAGAGGGTAAGCCTGTGACTATTGTGAAAACAATGTCAGAAATTACATATAACCACAGGATCTTAGTTAAAAAAATATAAAAGAAAATCTGTAACTAGATAGAAAACCCCATTCTGGAGATCTTCAAAAGAAGCGTAGGTTATTTACTTATATTGTTTCATGTATTTTAACCTGGAGATGGCGGAAAAATTTAAGAAAGCCTCAAGTTCTAGGCACTTAGAGGGTTGACAGCAGTATTGATAGCTGGACAAATCACAGAATCACAGAACCCCAAGGGTTGGAAGTGACCTCAAAAGATCATCTAGTCCAACCCCCCTGCAAAAGCAGGGCAACCTAAAATACATCACACAGGAACTTGTCCAGTCGGGCCTTGAATATCTCCAATGTAGGAGACTCCACAACCCCCCTGGGCAACCTGTTCCAGTGCTCTGTCACTCTCACAGTAAAGAACTACAGCACAGAAGAGCAGAGAGCAGCAATTGTCCTTCTTTCCTCTTTATTAATCTCAGCATCTGGGTCATTTCAGCTGACCAGTCTCATTCTCAGCACAACTGCAATCCATATTAACATACAGCTCTACATGTCCTATGTCATTATTTTAGCTGGTTGCAAAGCAAAAGCATCAAATTATCAGGATTATTGACACACCTCCCACTATCAGTATGTATTAAATATTCATACATGTAGATAGCTTAAAAATCCTTATTTAAGCTTAGTACAACGGCTTCTCAAGATGGCTTTGAAGAACCATAATCTGTGCAAGCATATTCTTTCAACAACAACAACAAAAACCAGTGGTGGTTGGGTCAGAGTACTTATATCATCATATATGTTACCATTCTTTAAAAATGTAGCTTTATCCTCTATAGTTAAGGATAAAGAAAAAAGACAGTACCACAGTTACTACCATGCACATCAGATTGTAACTACAATTCATTACCTCTTCTTCAATGGCAAACAGCTTGACAATGTTCTTATGATTTAGTTTCTTCAACACTTCAAATTCCCGCATCTGAACATCCACAGGACGAAGGAAACTTAGACTGTTAAAAACTTTGACAGCATATAAATCCCCAGTTTTCTGTTAAAAACAGACAAATTACTAATTAAACAGAAGCATAAGTCTGTAAATGTATATATGCCATTATCCGAGCATTTTGAGATGCTCCGTTGTGCATATGAGCACGCCCAGATTACAAATAGTTCAAAATAGCATTTTGCACAAGGTGAGAATTAAGATTCTACTAAAAAAAAAAATTGTGTATATCCTGGTTTAGTCTAACATAGACTAGAAGCAAACAGACTAGCAGAATGGAAACACGGTCTTAGCCCACAAAATCTAAGTGCTTTTAAAAACAAAGAACAATTAGCATAAGAAGGGCTTCACGTTTAAGAATGACACATGTATTTTGCTGAAAAATAAAATTTCAGCAAGAGGTAGGCCACTTGCATCAATCAGTAAGAGGCACACACATGCTGCAGTTGAGAATCTTGGCTTGCTTAAGAGGCAAGTTTAAGAAGCTGAACACTGCTCTTTTTCTTTATTGTTCCGTTTATGCTCATAAAGCAGTATTTTATTTTTGCAAAGAAGGCAGTGTCAGGCACTACATACCACTCATGCAAAATCCTAAAGCAATTCAAACCCCCATAATAAGTAACAGGAGCACAGACATGAGCTCAGTCAGACTTCAGTTTTCAAGTGGGACTAAGCCTCAACATGCTCAGGCACCCACAGCACCAGCTGAGAGTGTAGTTCCGGTCCCTTTTAGGGCCAAGTACCTCCCTGAAACCACTCTAGGAATAAGCATACATTAGCAGCCATGTGGGTGACAGATTCTGGCTAAGGACAAAGCCTTCCTGTTATACAATACACTTATATGCACTACTGGTGCCCAGCTAAAAGTTTTTTCTCACTGACAAGTTGCAGGTCACACACTCAGACTAGAGAGGCTGATGAGAGGTGCAAGCATGAAAACGTAAGCTTTAAAGGGGAATCATTCTGTGAGGAAATCCACTAACAGAAAAGCACATTATTATTATTCCTTAGTGTTGCTTCATGGTTAAATGTGGAACATAGAAAGCACTGTAGCTTTTATATAACTTCACTCTGATTTCACACAGACATTACTGTAACAGAACATTATTTTCACTATTCTTATCTTCATTTTGTGAGATATACCATGAAGTTCATAGGAACAGAATGACTTACACAAGTAAGGTCATTTTAGCTCCTCACTCAGGTTACAATATACACATCAGTATAACATTTGCACGGCAAAACTCCTCAAAGATGTCCTATTTTGTACTGAATAAAAATGGTATGTCACGAAGAAAATGGTGTGCTAGACATGTATGAAACATTGACTTAAGGCCAAAGACTACAGCAACTCCATCCAGTAGGATAATATGTTAAGAATACATCAAGAATATTGAAAAATAATAAAAATCACAAAAAAAGGGTTTTTAAATAACAGGGGAAAACTGTGAAAAGGTAATTTAAACAAGAAAAAAACCAACATATCATGTACTGTAACAAAAACTGATTAAAACTTTCATTGCTATTTAAATTCTTAAACGAGGAGTATTTTTTCCATAAAACCAAAAAACAGAGGAATGAATCATAGGATACTTAATTACATTTCATATTTTACAAGGACAAACAGTACAATATTGGAAACAAATCCACAGAAATTACTGTATAGAACTCAATTAATTGGATGAGTGTTAACAACTAAACGCTAAGAATTAATAACAGCAAAGATATATTTGTTTTAGGCTTAAATCTTGAGTATTTTTTGTTGATTTCATGATACGACTCCCATACGGAAAAAAAAATCAGTTTTATATATTACTCAGATTAGCAATTCCTCACCAACCTTGTGTCGGCCCCGGAAAACATTCGCAGTAGCTCCCTGCCCTAGGATGTCAGACAACAGCCAGAGGTAATTCAAAGTGCTCTGCATCTTTGCTCTTTGATTAGACAGTTTTCTTTTTCACCTTAAAAACAAAAAGTTAAATACATGGAATTATAATTTAGTAAAATACACAAAAGGAACTTATTTTAATTAGGAGGAACAAAACTCCAACTCAACCAGAACTCCAAAGACATACAGAAATAATTAAGAACAACCAACTAGAGGAATAAAAGATGAAACAAACAAAATCAAGCTCAACAATCAAACTACTGCCATAGACACAACACCTCTCTGCATTTGAGAACTTTACCCCCCAAAATTTGTTTAAAAAATCAACTGGAAAAGTAAAAGCTTTATAATCCCTTTTCTGTTGTACACAGGTATTTAATGCTACAGTAACAAAAACTATAGAATCACAGAAGGGCTTGGGTTGGAAAGGACCTTATCACCCAGTTCCAACCCCCCTGCTATGGGTAGGGACACCTCATGCTAAACCATACCACCCAAGGCTCTGTCCAACCTGGCCTTGAACACTGCCAGGGATGGAGCATTCACTACTTCTTTGGGCCACCTGTTCCAGTGCCTCACCATCCTCACAGTAAAGAACTTCCTCCTTATATCTACCCTGAACTTGCCCTTTTTAAGTTTAAACCCATACCCCTTGTCTTATCACTACAGTCCCTGATGAAGAGTCCATCCCCAGCATCCCTATACGCCCCCTTCAGATACTGGAAGGCTGCTACTAGGTCTCCACGCAGACTTCTCCAAGCTGAACAGCCCCAACTTTCTCAACCTCTCTTCACACAGGAGGCTCTCATGGCCCTCCTCTGGACTTGCTCCAACAGCTCCACGTTCTTCTTATGTTGAGGACACCAGAACTGCAAACAGTACTCCAAGTGGGGTATCACAAGAGCAGACTAGGAAAGAGTGAAAATCACATGCACAAGGTCTCTTGAAAATCAGTAACACCTGGGATCAATTCCATTATTGGGTATACATGCCAAAGAATATATACGAGATGATGCAGATATATATATACATGTATATATCTTTTATATATCTATATACACACACACATTTGCTTATTTAGATTGCCTGGGCTCCGGAAATTGCACTTCAGTACAACTGTAAAGGAACCAGATTAGCTATTTATGAAAAGCTATTTTATGTGAGCTAGATAAAAGTCACAAGTTAACACAAGTATTTTCAGCTACTCATTAGGACCACAGGAAGAAATTAAGGAACATTTCTCCCATGTCTAAACTTCACATTTGGAATGTCACATCTTTTCTAGCGAGACAGTCTGGATTGCTCAACCTTCGTGAAATGTGAACTACCAGATGCTCAGGTTTTCACAGATTCAAAAGAAAGAGACAAAAATGTTTGATTAAATTAAAATTATTAAAAACAGTATTAGGACTGCCAGAATTTCCCCCCCTGTCAAAACAGTAGGAGCTCCAGGTGAATGCCATTCCTTTTGGGTTAATTAAAAAACCTGATTTTGCCATTAAATCTACTGAAAGGCTGTAAGATCAAATATGTAGCTTCCAGGGTAAGGTCTTACAGCAGCAGCTTTTCCTCAAGTCTGGCAGCAGACCCCTGCATCTGCCTGTGTTAACCAATAAGAAACAGCTGATACTCAAAAGAAACGAAGCCTAGAATGACAGTTTCCTGTGCATGTTGTTGCAAGAAGATGGTTGGTGCTTTCTGAGGGCTCTCTGGCACACAGGACGAAACCAGCACAAGCCTCATGGCGTGTACTACAGGAGAGCAGAGAAAGCTGCAGGCCAGCCACCACAGCACTGCACCCTCATCCTGCTCCAGCCACCCGCTGAAGCACCACCTTTGCGCTGCTCCTGATCCCACCCATGCCATGACACAGACACAGGAATTGTCTCCTATCTTTGAACACATTTCTCTATGCACAGCGACTGCAGATTGCATACTTCCATTCAGCTATTTGCTCACAATAAGATGTGGAGCTTCTTGCAAAACTGTCCCAGAACATCCAGGTAACGACATGTTGCATACAGAACTCAACAACACAATGCAAAGACTTCACACATCACTCTACATTTGGTATCATGCAGCAACACCATTTTCAAAATCTAGATAAAGTTCTTAATACAGAGAAGGGAAAAAAAGTTTCACCTCAAATCTGAACCAAATAAACCTGCAGCAGCACATCCCAAACCCCTACAATTCTCAGTTAACTGTGACAATTTGCAATAGTAGAACAATTCAATTTTTTTCCAGCTGGCAACTACCATAGATGCCAAAGAGCTATCTACAATGCAGACACAGAGGTAAGCAAGAGGTCTGCAAGGAAATAATGCATAGACCACTCTGTAAATCACTTGAAAAATCTCCAAATTAAAAAGTTCTTCATAATTAGAACTCTGCTTGCAACAAGCCAGTTCGCACGCAGCCAGTAAGCACATATTTTGTCATGTATTTCAGCATAATATTCGTTAAACTCATTCCAAGAAGCAGAAACATGATGAATCCTTTCTAAGCAGACAGGAAACGTGCAGGAGGATCAAGTAAACAGAGTTTCTTCACTGATGTGTGTTCAAATGCTAAAAATTTTAGCAGACTGAATTATTAAGTTGCCCGAAGTGATAAAGATGACGTAGTTTATGTATGAGATCATCCCTTTACTTTCTTACTTTCAAATTAAATTTGCATGAAGCTCAGTGGGTGACAACAAAACAGATGAGCTTGAATAGAATCCAATGGATTTTAAAACAACCCAATAAAACAGCAAGTCACTAATGGGTTCTCAAGGTCTGGGTTTTTCACTCATAAAACTATAGATATAATTATGTCAGTATTAATCCAGGGCCAAACCAGAGTCAGTGTTGTACTATGACCTTCCTTTTGTTTTTTGTCAAAATAGTATTTTTATAATAATAATAATAAAGTCTACACTGTTCTGGCAGAGTTTTCACTTTTAAAGTCTCATTTAGCTTTCAGTCTTCAAATTATAATAATTTGAATAACTTACATAAGGTGTTAGACCTCCTCTGATTTCCCTACTTTGATTCAGAACTGATCTTTGCTTGTTCTGACTTGATTCAGCTGGCTGGGATTTCGTATTTTCCATTACCTTCCTAAATCAATTCACAAAGTTTCATATTAAAACGCACATATATATATAGCTGTATGTTTGGTCCTGTCAATAGATTTAATGCTGAACTTTCTATTTTTTCAAATCTCATTTATGGCCCTAAGTCTGATCCTAGATGAGTCACAAGTTCCTCATACCTGCCTAGTTCTCTCTCCTACCAGCAGTGTGAGCTACTGTCCCCCATGCCTCATTAGCACTGCAAGGGTTTGGGGGGTGCTTTTTGGGTGTTTTTTTTTCCTGCTCTGCTGATACGACTTCTTTATTTACCAGCAGGGGTGGTTGTAACAGAAAAAGGCTGCATTGCCACCGTGACATTTTAAACTCCCAGTCTTTGAAGCAGAAGCACTGACTGCTTCTAATTCATACAAAGTGTGCTGCTACCTCAGGCACGCGGGATAAGCACACAAAGCCCTGTTAACAGCTGCAACGTACAAGTTCTGCAGGAGAGTAGGGCAGCTGAAGAAGTGAAAGTGAAGGCTCTTTCTGCCTACAAACAAGATCCCATTTGCCACCAAAGCAGACAGGCAAAGTGCTGAGGTTCTGAATAAATGTTATGTTAGAAGCACAGAATCTGGTAAACACAACGGTTTTACACTTCCTGTATGCCCTCTCTAAGAAAAAAAGGAAACCTAGCCTAGGAAATGCCCCCCGCCAAAGTTCCTGTTTCCTGTATCTAATCTCCTCCCGGGACTTTCCAGTCCAAAAGCCAGTATCTCAATTACCAGACACCCTGCCCCGGGCTATACAAGGTGCTGCTCTGAAGCACACGAAGCAGGACATGCAAAGGCCCGTAACGCAAATGCCAAGCCTGGCTCCAGTGCTGCTCAGCACCACTGCTCTTGGCGTTTCCAGTCCGTAACGGGGGAGGACTCCGCCTCCTGTCAGTGACAGCAGCTCCCGGAAAGCTATGGGAGACCACAGGCCCATCCCAGCCACCAGCCAGCCCCGCACTCATACGGGTGCGAAGGGCACGGTGCAGCAGCTCATCTCCACAACACGACATCCTTCCTGAAGTAAAAGTTTAGCAACTTCTACAAACATAAAGGCGACACTGCTACCTGAGGAACGCTTTAAACAAACCACCGTGAACATATGCTTCGCTTGGCTTCCCCTCGCCCCCTTCCAATTACAAAACCAATTGGACGGGTCGCGACCTGCCGACATTCGCCACGATAAAAGCCATGGAGAACCAGGGCAAGGGACGAGCTCCAGACATGCCGCCGAGGCTACAGGCCAGCCCCCGCTTCGTTCACTCCGGCCCGGGGCCGCTCCGGGGGGCTGCCCCCACAGCCAGGCCTGCTTTTGCCTCAGGGGGCTCCGCCGACGTCCGCCACCCTCCTTGGGCGCCGGCAGCGCCCGGGAAGGCCCCGCCGCCGCCCCAGGAAAACGAAAGCGCCTCACCCCGCAGACAGCGCGGAGGGAGCCGCTTCCCCGCGGCGGCGGCGAGGAGCCGCGGTTCTCTCCGCGCAGCCGCCATCGGCCACCCCACCACCGACGCAGCCTCCCCCGCACACCACCGGCCCCACGCACCGAGCCACCTCTCGCCCTGCCTGCCCAGCGCCCCGGCCGCTTCCGGCTTCCTGCAGCGGCGCTGGGAAGGCGGGGCGGCAGAAGCACCGCCCCGGCGGCTCCCGGCCGGGCCGAGCTGCTCCCCGCACGAAGGTGAGAACGCGGTGGGGCCTAGTCACTGTGTTATCCTGCACTGAGGGGATGAGGGAGCGTCGGGGCCTAGTCACGGTGTTATCCTGCACTGAGGGGATGAGGGAGCGTCGGCCCTGAGGCGAGGGGACCGCGAAACGGCGAAACGGCGGGAAGTGGAAGTAGGATGTTCCTTAAACAGGGTGTCGTGGTTTAAACCCAGCCAGACAGCTTTTCACTCACTCCCCCCACTCCCCCCCTTCTTGCCCTCCCCCTACTCCAGGAGGGACGGAGAGGAGAATCAGAAAGAACCAACTCCCACGGGTTGAGATAAGAACAGTTTAGTAACTAAGGTATAACACAAATCACTGCTGCTACCACCAATAATAGTAATGATAAAGGAAACAACAAGGGAAGAGAATACACCACCTCAGCACCAGGCGACCCCTGGACACCACTGGCCCCCCCCCCCAGCCCGACCAAGCACCTACCTATACCCCCTCCAACCCTGCAGTCCACCTAGCCCTTCTGGGTAACTCTCAGGTACATCCCAGGCATGACGTGCTGTGGTATGGAATACCTCTTTGGTCAGTTTGGGTCAGGTGTCCTGTCTTTGCTTCATCCCGGCTTCCCTCCTCCCTGGCAGAGCATGAGGCTCACAATGTCCTTGGCCAAACCAAAACATTTTTATCAGCTTTGTTCCCAGCCCGAAAGTCAAAAAACACAGCACTGCACCAGCTACCAAGAAAGAGAAAAATGACTGCTACTGCTGAACCCAGGACACATGGTCACTCTGGGGCTTTTAGATCCTGTGCTGTTCAAAGCGAGCTCACACCCGTTCCGGTGATGGGGCTTTTGCTGTGTAACCGCTTTGAGCAGTGCTTCCGTTCCCTCGCCCCCTCCTGAGGCGGAGCGGCCGCGCTTCCCTCTGCCCGGGGACCATTAAAAGTTACACTTATGTCCCAGAGCCTCACTGGTGCTTTTCCAAAGGATATCCCGGAGAAATGCCTCCCCGCCCCGTGTATTTTTACTCGGTTTCACCCTTTCTAAACTTCACAAGTCTCAGCATTTTTCATACGTTCCTGTTCCCATTTGTTTTTTACTTAAATGTCTTACAGCAGAGTTACTTGCCGGTGTATCTGTTGCCTTTCATTTTCGTCTGCCCAGTAATGCTGCTGTTCCAATAAATGGTCTGTATAGCTTGTATAAGGAAAGAAAACCTTTATGATTTATGCATAATGTAATTTAAACAGAATTATAGTGGGAAAATAGTCAAAATATATTTTTTTTTCCACCCAATACTGTCTTTCAGAGTCATGGAATGGTTTGATTACCTTAAAGGTCATCCAGTTCCAACCTGCTGCTGCGGGCAGGGACACCTTCCACTAAACCAGGCTGCTCCAAGCTCCATCCAGCCTGGCGTTGAACACTGCCAGGGATGGGGCAGCCACAGCTTCTCTTGCCTCAGCACACTCATAATGAAGACTTTTTTTCCTTATATCTAATCTAAACCTCCCTTCTGCCAGTTTAAAGCCATTCCCCCTTGTCCTGTCACTTCATAACCCTGTAAGAAGTCCCTCTCCAGATTTCTTGTGGGCTCCCTTTAGGTACTGGAAGCTGCTCTAAGGTCTCCCTAGAGCCTCCTCTTCTCCAGGCTGAACAAGCCTAGATTTCTCAGCCTGTCTTCATAGGAAAGGTGCTCCAGCCTCTGATCATCTTCACGGCCTCCTCTGGACCTGCTTGAGCTGAATGCAGTATTTAGGTTGGGTCTCATGAATGCAGAGTAGAGGGGCAGGATCACCTCCTTCGACCTGCTGGTCATGCTCCTTTTGATGCAGCCCAGGATACGGTTGGCTTTCTGGGCTGCAAACACACACTGAAGCAGGCTCATGTTCAGTTTCTCAACAAACAGCAGCCCCAAGTCCTTCTTCTCAGGGCTTCTCTGAATCCATTCTCCACCCAGCCTGTATTTTTGATCCTCTGTACTTCCTGTTTGGAATTATCATCTTCCCAAGTCTTAGAAGCCTATTCTCCTGATAAACTGATGCATAAAAGATAACAACCTTTTTTTTTTTTTATAGGCATTGTTTATTGCTATTATCATGTTTCCTAGGCTTTATCACAAGTCCAAACTTCCACTGGTTCCCTTGTTAGAGGGCACTAAGCTTGTTCCAAATTCTGCTTAGTGAAACTGATAAACTAACTTAGATACATTGTATGCTGTTATTGTAATTGCTTAATTCATATTCCCCATTTTTTGGCATTAGAGCTTAATTTCATGATGATTCTTCACTACAGAGGAAATAGCTCCCCACCATATCTGTGTTCTGTCCTTGCATCTTTCAAAACACTGCCGTGCTCCTCAGCAGTTATATGGTTAATTTCTGCCACCCTCTCCTCTGTACTTAGGTTTTCAAGCCTTTTTTTTTTTTCATTAGGTAGATACCCATGAGGCAGCTTTGTCTTCAGAAACGTTCATCAGCTCTTCCATACACATTTTAGCAAAAGCCCTCTCAACATCAGGAAAATGCCAGTGAACTTTCCTTTGTACCTTGGACATACACTTGCTTCCACCTTTGAATAAAACCAAGCTGTTAGCTGTGTATGTTGATGCTTTTTGGAACTGGTCATTTTAAATCATAGTCTCATTCAGGCTGGATGGGACTTTCAGAGTCTCTGTTTCAAAGAGATGGTCAGTGCTGACTTCAGACAAGGTTCCCCAGGACTTCACTTAAGACCTAGAGTATCTCAGCTCCAAATAGCACCCTGCCCCTGGGCCTGGCCACCACTGTTCTCACTGCGGTTACCACCCCCTGTGCTTTTCCTAGGTCTTGCATAAATGAAGATGATTCATATAGTTCACATGATTCACATTGTCCTTTTTGTTAGGGTATATCTGTAAGATAATCAGTGATCCTTATGCAAGGAGGATCGTCTCAAGCCTTTAAATGTTTCACTGCATGAATCACAGGAAAACAGTATGTTCAATATAGCAATAGGAAAAACTGACACCAAAAAGTAAAAAAGTCATTAGTTTAACTCTAGAGATTGTTTGCTTCCTTCTACTTCTTTTCAATGCATTAGCAAAAAATCAGTAAAACAACTGGTATTCCTGACCTCTCTTGTATTTGGATTCTCATTCATATTCACGAATTCAGCAGTCTGAACCTGAAGCTCTGACAGATCTGGCCAGAGATGACAAGGGAAAGTAGTTTTTGACAGGTACATTGGTGACAAAAGAAGACTAGGGACAACTCGGGCCCTCTTCAGAAGGAAATGGGAGACCTGGTTATCCAGGATATGGGTAAGGCTGAGGTATGCAATGGCTTTTTTGCCTGTCTTCACTGGCAAGTGCTCTAGCCACATCATCTAAGTCACAGAAGGCAACAGCAAGGACTTGGAGAATGAAGAACACCCACTTCATTAGGTGGCAGGAGACCACCTAAAAAACCTGAAGGTGCACAAGTCTATGGGACCTGATGAGATGCATTCACAGGTCCTGAGGGAACTGGTAGATGAAGCAGCTAAGCCATTATCCATTATATCTAGGAAGTCATGACAGTCTGGTGAAATTCCCACTGACTGGAAAAAGGCAACATAACCCCCATTTTAAAAAAGGGCAAAAAGGAAGATCTGAGGAACTACAGGCCACTCAGTCTCATGTTGGTGCCCTGCAGGACAATGGAACAGATCCTGCCAAATGGGGTTATAATAGGATTCAGCAGGGTCAAAGCATAGGAAAGAGCAAAGAATTGTTTTTTAATTCTTCAGGCTGAAACAAATTTGTTTCTTTGAACATCCAGGCTATCTAGCCATTCATCCTGCAGAATACTCTTACATTTATGGATGTAAGGGCAGGGAACAAGTTTATAAGATAGCCAGGCTGATGGCTGCCACTCACAGCTTGCTCCTGCACTCTTTTCAATCCATTCCCACCTGATACCACTGTAGCAGACAACATGTTTTG